TGAATACATTTGAAGAGTTTAAGAAAGAAGAATTATTGTTAAAGACGCCGTCCAATGAAAATCCAGTTTCTTTTAACATTGTTAATGTCCATTTGATATTTTTATAAACAATACGAGATCTATCATGAGCGAAATATAAACTGTCAACACCATGACAACTTGTGGGGATGAAACCTCGTCAGTGCAGAGAGAGAGAGAGAGAGAGAGAGACAGTTAGCATTAGCACTACCGCTAACACTGCCAGTCACAAGCTAACAAACAACATAAACAAATAAAAGATGCTAACTGCGCTAACTGTTCTGTGTGGGAAAACGACGTTAAACTAAATATTAATGATGGCAGATTAACTTTGCAGCGGTGGGGTAGCTTACTGTACAGAGGCACATACAGTCTACAAACACTCCTACAGATTTATAAAACAAGGCCCTGCTTTGTCAGAAAAGGTCAGAAAAAGTTGTGTTTTAAAGTTTTAATTAGTCACTTGATTTGACAGCGTTAAGGTGGGAGAGAAGAGAGTGATGAAAAATGTATCTGAAAGACGTCGACAGGGAGTGGACCTCAACCTTGTCCTTCTGGCTCACTGTCTTTTTCTACAGAAGCTTTTCATTTGTCTTTTGACTTATTTATCCAGTCGAGGGGCGATATCACACACACACACACACACACACACACACACACACACACACACACACACAACACAGTCTTCAGAGGGGCAACCCTATTAGGGAGAACCAGAGACATCTTGCGCAGCCTGTCTCTGCGCATCAGAATTAGAATTTCAAAGTAGCTTTTGATTGTTTGATCTCATATCCAAAAATGATTGTTGGTAATATAAAAAAAAAAAAAGTATGAGAAAAAAGCAATTAACATAAAGCCGTGGTTCTATTAATACCCAGTTTTCTCTGTAGTCTTGTGGCTGGTTGTGATCCATAATTAACAGTGAAGAGATCCCATTTTCACCTTCTGCCGCGGTTCCCCACTAGACCCGCTCTCTGGAGAGCCGGGCGGAGCGAGAGCAGCGAACAGATGATGCTTCACGCAGCAACGCTGAAGAAGAAATAGAAGTAGAGCCACTCTTCTTCTCTAATATTACAACCTGACAGAATTGACACTTGAATATCTTTATGCCTCAGCACAAAGTCTAAACTAATTCTTTCAGCCTTGCCTGTGAAGCAGCTGCTGTCACACACACATATACAGTATATATATATATATATATATATATACTGTATATCATACATCACCCATATTGCCACTCTGTTACCCTGAGTTACATCCACTGCCAACGCTTCCTTCCTGTATGAACATCGTTTCTATAGGACACAAGATATTTGTTTTCTTGTGCGCAAACTTTGACTGTTTCATTGGTTTTTATTAGCTCTCTACACGACATGCACTTTTTTTTTGTGATGATCTGATCTTCAAGTGCTTAAAACATTTTCAAGGTTTTTAAAGCATTCAACTACACACTCATCTGCTGTCACAACATTTTGCAATTGGTTGAATGCGGGAAATCTTTTCACAACGGAGTTTACGACTACAATAAACTCTGCAGCTCTATTTAGAGTAAGAGAGAAAATCTGGACACAGTCTCTGAGTGAAGACGCCACTAACACAACCTGGTCAGTAATAACAGCCCCCCCCCCCCCAAAGCCCCTGAAACACCTGACAATGCCAGTTTATCTCCATTATAATCAGGCCGGCACTAAATACATCAACACATTCAGCTCCATTGATTAGCATTGTTAAGGAGGAGGAGAAGCTGTGGTCGCTGAAGAGTCTGCAGAGATCACTGAGGCCGCTGACAAAGTTGTGTTACTGTGTAAGCTGTTTATCTCCGTACGTGTCTCTGTACTTTCTCTTCCTGTATATTTTCCATCACAAGTGATAAGAGTGGTAAGTGGAGGTCTGAGTAAACTGAAACCTGCACTTATCTTCTGAAGGAAAATACAATAGAGGCAATTTTTCCTTCAGAAAAGCCACTGATTTTCTTCGCTGCCACAGATCACCACCGTGATCTGCCACCTCTGAGGTTGAGGTTAGGTTTAGGCAAATTAACTGCTTGGTACGCATTAGATAAACATTATCTTCATGGGTAAAACCACCGGAGACTGTTGGCAGGAGGCGTCAAAGGCGAGAGTACCAAGTCTGTAGGAGTGTCTTAACGAGTGTATTAAAGCCGACGTTTACATGATTTTAACATCAGTTTTTTAATCTTCTTCCCAGATGTTCTCAAAAGCATAGAGTGAGTGTCTTTGACCAGCAGTGACCCCCCCCCCCCCCCCCCCCCATGACGACATGACACTGGATCTTCTTAAAAGACAGAATCTGACATTTTCCGCCTGTGACAGGGAAACGTTCCCGCTGCGGAGAGAGGGCTTCTCCGCTGACACTTGGCTCGTTAACGTAGTTCGCGCTGCAGCTCTCTCGCTTCCAGCAGCTGGTTTCACTGATGACATTTTTAAAGCAGCTAAAGGACAAATCCAGAAAGAGTTTTCCTGTGATGTAACAACTGACTGGTTAAGAAAATTAACCAAGTACGTTTTTTGAAATGTCACGGTCTCCCTCTAAGGTTGGCTGAGTATCATTACTCACTAAAATCCGTCTAGTGTTTTCTTTTTCTTTCCTCTTGCAGCCGTTGCTGGAGCTCCCCTGAAGTGAAAGATCACACCGTGAGGGCTTTTCCATTTGCTTCCTTTGTGCCAGACGAGGTGAATTAATTACGTGGTGGAAAAAGTATTTAGTTTCAACATTAACTGTAGATATGAAGAGAGTAAAGTTGTATCGCCCAAAGTTCCTAGAGCGATGATTTCTGCCTCAAAGGCAGGGGGCTCCATTTATTAGATGTGTTATCTAAAGGGAAAGGAAAAAAAAGTCTTCAGGGAGGGAGAGAGGGTGAGACGGACACGCAGAGAGACAGGGAGCTGGAGAAATGGCGGGATGTCTGGGTAAATAAACCAACAGTGCAGTAAACGCAGCAGTGCGGTTCTGCTGTGATATGAGACCGGCGCTCATAAATAATGTCCTCATAAATAATGTAGCCTGCCGCTACTCTGCTCCTCACACTGTGGGGAAACAAGGCTAAACAAAGACCGCGCTAGTCAGGTCACAGGTGACTACACACACGTCGCAGTACAGGTATCAATCACTGAGCTGTGGAAACACATGCAACCCTCTGCATCCTGCACACCTGTGTGCGTAAATACGAAGAACTGAAGAGAGGCAAAATAAAATATGACGACGGGGGCCTGAACACAAAAACCCTCTTTGTTCAAACCTGCACTGACTGATTCTCTGGCCTCATGGGGGAAGTTCAAAACACTGTGAGCACATCACTGCTGTAGTGTTACTTGGTGTTGTGTTTCTGGTCACCTGATTGATCCCTTGTGTTGTATTGACTTTGTTCAACAGCAGAGAAAACTTTCCCAACAGTGACCTCGACAAAAATGATGCTTTACCTCATCAGGACCAGGACCAGGCACACACACACACTCTTTAGTAATAATAATAATAATAATATAATAATGATAATGATGATGATGATAATAATAAACCTGTAGTAAAGAAAACGATTATGACAGATGTGTTCTGATTAAATGCAGAATGAAGAGGGAAAACCCAAATATTCTCAAAGTGTGACGATACAGAACTTTACAGCTAAATTCACCATTTACTCTCCATCAACTCTGGCTCTTCAGCTACTATACGTCCCACATATATGAAGTCAGTTTCACCTGCAGTTTGGACGTTATAAATATTACTAATCCTGTGTGCTGTTTCCTCGATCGTGTGTTTCCCGTCCGCACCGGATACTGACGACGACTGTTCTCTCGCTGACGAGTTTAAACCACTTAAGCAGATTACCAATCCTTCTGATGGAGGTCAACTCGTTTAAGACCATGAAAGTAACATGACGTGTTGCCAACGCTCTAAATGCCGAGAATCAATTTGCACATCAAAGCAGCGGCATAATGGCAGGACGGCGGCGGCGGCGGCAGGAAGGAAGGGAGGGAGGGAGGGACCAGAAACCAACAAGTGTATTTAAGCACAATGGTTCCCTGCGGAGCGTGTGTGGATTACACCAGTAACAACACACTATTATCATCGCTGCTCATAACCAACACTGATTCCTCCCTGATGACTCACAAACGCAAAACACTGAAGAAGAAGAAGAAAAAGAAGAAGAAGAAGAAGAAACAAAAAAGTGCATAACAACATTAAACAAGTGAGAAAGAGGCCGTGGGTTATTACTGAGATGAGAACAGACCTAAAAACAAATCCAACAGTGAAGCTGCTGAATTTATTCAGGGTGTAAATTGTGTTATTGTGTGATTGTGTGTGTGTGTGATTGTGTGTGTGTGTGTGCGGGCGACGGTCAGAAGTAAATATGAAATGATGTGGCATCTGTTGAGGCTTTAAGTGATATATCACTCCATTCCACTTCGTTTAGCATCACTTCGTCTGAGTTAATTGGTTCATGAGGAGCACTAATTAAGGGGAATGGCCGTGTTTATCATCACGGTGACGCTCATTAAGCGAAGAAATATTTTTTCTTTTTTTTATATTTTCTTTCAGGACTGGTGACATTAACACACCCTTCACAGCCGTGGGTGGGTTTGGTGGGTGGGGGTTGGTGGGGCAGTTTCTATTGAGGGTGGGCAGTTTTGGGAGGGTGACAGCTCTAAGGCTATGTCCACACTACGTTTTTGTTTCAAAACTAAAAACTCATCTCTTTTGCTACATTTCCTCCTGCTGTCCACACGACTCTNTGGGTGGGTGGGGGGGCGGCAGTGTATATTTACTTTAGTCTTCACTGTGACAGCTGCAGCCAACATCTTATGTGCAGCAGAGTGAAGCACACACAGCTTGACAACACTCAACACGCACTGTACACTGTATATATGCAGAAAGTGTAACACGCTGATACACATGGGAATACATATTTACACACACACACACACACACACACACAAGTATACGAAGACGATGATGTGTCCTACCTCTCTTCGTCGTGAGGCCCAGCATGTCTGTTTGATTTTCCAAACCACGGCAGCGACCAGGAGCAGAGACAGGAAACAGCTGGAAAGAGGAGACGCACACAGGATTAATCAGTCAATCAATCAAAGATCAATGATTCTTCAGAAGTGCATGGACAAGTTCCGTATGAAAGGTGTGAACGTGGAATGGGCGGAGGCGTCGTTGTTCCGCCTTTGTGCCGGCAGTCGGAGGGAGGCGGCCAGAGAGCCGGATCAACGAACCAGCAGGCTTTTTAACCCCCCCCCTCCTCTGTGGCGGCGTCGTGCCGCTTTTGTTTGGTTCGACGTAAACAAACAATACGGCGGCACCTCGAGCGAAACACAGTGACGCACGAGTCTCTTGACGCTGAGTCGAACTTTTTTTGGAACAAGCAGCTGGAAGGTCAGAACAGTTCAGCGATTCTCTCAAATGAAGAAATTGGATTTATCATTCACACACAAGCACGGAGCGCAGTCAGTTACTGTAAGTCTCGGCCGCTCGAGCGCTTTGGTCGCGCTCAGGAAAAACATCGGCATGTGTCTCAAGTGCTTCTAATCACTTTGGACGACAGAAACATCAACGATGAACGATTTGCTGTGAGGCGACGTCGTACTGAAAGAGCAGACGTGGTCATTTCTAGAAGACACACATTCTCATCCACCCAAGACGTTCTTGAGAATTTTTTAACTAATTAGGCAGCGATGTTTTTCCTCCCGGACTCTCGAGCGCAGCAAGGCAAGAGTCCAACTCCAGAGGAAGAAAGTCTCCCTGACACCTGTGCTTGTTTGGTGTTGACTCATGGGAGCTACTTAACTCTGAATACAGAGAACAGTGCAAGGACGGAGCTTTCAGGAGACGGGACTTCAATACGTTCTCGGCGGATACACGCGTTTTAATGAAACTGCTGCACTGCACAGACACACAATGTAAAACAGGGCGAGAGGTCATTAACAGGGAGAGGAAGCATCAAAAACTGATTTCTGACTTTTCTATATTTATTGCTTTATTCCGCTCAGCCGTCCGATGATAAAACGATTACAGCTGACAGAGGAGCTGCTGGTGAGAAACACACTGAATGTTTTCATGCTCGTAGTGACCTCTGTAGTGTTCCTTTTGTACTCATGGTGCAGTATCCAAATCAAATGACAGGTATTTCATGTATGTACTGGCTCCAGACAAAAACCACTTAACAATACAACCTCTAAAGCAGTAACTTTACGCTAATTTACTGGCCTCCAGCTCCAGTTTCCGGACGGTGCGGATGACAAAGGAGAGAGGGATTCATGGGAAGTTTGTGGCGAGATACGAAACCGCGGTGACCACAGGCAGCTGGGGGTTTTAAGACAGCAAAGGGCAGCGAGGGGTCAACGAGACGACACGATGCTCTCTAACAAAAGAGCGAGATCTCATGTCGCACACAGACACACACTCAGCCTTAAAAGTTCAATGTCTGGAGGGCAAAAGTTATCTGGTCAAACACAAAGCTCCTCTCTCAACCAGAACTTTCTGACAAGAGCTCAAAACAATCGCACCCAAAGACTTAACAACAGGAAGTCCCGGAGAAACTGCTGAGGACAGCAGCTCCGAAACAATCCTCCTCTTTATCTGTGTCTGTGTGTGTGTGTGTGTGTGTGTGTGTGTGTGAGAGATGTGTCCTCCTGCATGGGGATGACAGCATTGTAAAGGGTATTAATGCTGTAATGAGCGTGACATTTTCAGACGCAGTATGGTGAAGAGGCTGCAGTCACGGCCTCTTCAGTCCACAGAACTGGAATATTACACATGCAGATCCTTTTGTATAAAATAAATCTAATTTCTAAGTGACCATTAGGTTCATTTGTCTTTATCTTATATTTGATGTGATCTCAGATGATGAAGGTTTTTGTTCTTGCCTCGCCACATAACTTTTATTTAACTCCTTAAACTTTTTTATTTATTTATTTATAGGAAAACAACAAATCAGCTTTACTTTTATAGGTGAGGTTTCAACGTGCTTGTTACCTGATCTTCTTCATGTTTATCCGTGTTTCTTATTGTCTCATGTTGTCTGTTTTTGTGACTGTAATATAGATAAATATTATTATGAAATACTAATTTCAAATGTGCTTTCACCCTCTCGTGCTAACATGAGCTCACCAACCGAGGAGCCAGACATCCTGAGACCCGCACGACACCGAATATTCGCCGGACAAATTAAAGTGAAGACAAATACGCTCAGTAACTCCCCCGCAACGATTTTCCATCCACCAAATTCACCTTCTAAAAACCCTCGACTGGCTGGGATTCAAATCCAATCAAGCCCCAAGATTCCCCATTCAGTCTGTATTACCTCAGCTCGCCATTAACGGGCCTCAGGGCCCGAGCTTAGCCATCTAACCGACGGAGCGGAGTGGCTAATTGTCGCTATTACCAAGGCATTAGGGATGAGGGAGGAGGTGGGGGAGGAGGGGGAGACAAGGGGGAGGCTGGGAGTGTCCTGTGTGTTTGTTAACACTCCACTGAGCCTCTTGATAGCTTTAGCTTTAAGACTGTTCAACCACAGGCGAGAGCAATCACACTGATTAAACAACCAGGGGATGTGTGTGAGGACGAGTCTGCGTCCAGGTGAGAGTGTGTGTGTGTGTGTGTACACGGGTGTGTGATCGTGTTGCAGGTTGTGTTCCCGCTCTTTTAAGTGGTATCAAACTAACAAACAAACAAACACACACACACACACGCATTAGAGCACAGTGAAACATCTGAATCCCAGCAGGCAGAGCAAAAAGAAAGAAAAGAAATCAATAAGCTATCCGTTGAACACGAGCTACAGATAGTTCACAATCAGGAACAGCTTTCCATCTGCACGACGAGCGAATCCACCGAGTCCTCGGGGTCCGTCTCTCGTTCCCCCTGACGATCTGCGGCTTTTTTTCCTGCACATTTTCCACCTTTGCACGTGTCGTTCCAGCAAAACCAGAAGCACGTGAGTTAAAGGAGGCGAAGTCCGTCTGTGAACCATCACACAGCTGTTCACCTGGACTCAGTGGCTACAGAACGTGACAGACTTCAATAGTCGTTCAGTCCTGTCTCATAATATTACAGTGTGCTGCGCAGTGCTCCGGTTTCTGACGGGCCTTCAGACTAATGGATGTGCAGGTTTACTCAGACTGGACTCTCAAGGCTTTTTGGTTTTGAGGAAATATTGAGACTAAAAGAGAAGAGACTTAAAAATCAGGCAGGTGTGTTGGAGTTTAGTGGGATCATGTTGCAAGTGTAAAGTATTTGTTATAATCAAAATGTTAAAATGTAAAGATGAAAAGCCACCAGTAAAATATTATTATAAAAAATAGAAAGTGGGTGAACTAATGGGACAAAAATGAAAATAAACACATAAATAAAGGTGTATTATTGAATCACTGAACTGGACTGGTTGAGTTTTGTAATTTATTTACTCGTCACTTTGTATTTGAGTGATTTTGTTGTTCTTGGTTGGATTGGGAAAAACAGTATCCTGTAATTCTCCCTGTACTTTCCCTCCTCTTTCTTTATAATAGTGTTAATATATTTTCTTTTCTTTTGTGCTTTTCTTTGAGTTTTCCTCTTTTTACTTCAGTATTTTTTCTGGGGGCCTTTTTCCTTCTCCGAGTCGTCTTAACGATAGAGAGTCGTGTGCTACGAAGTAAGAAGCTTGAAGAAGAAATAAATTAGAGGCGAGTTGGAGGAAATCTGAAGCCACTGCTCTGTACAGACTCCAAACGGCAAAAAAAAAAAAGTCCAGACCCAGTGATGTGTTCAAGTGCTCGAGCAACACTAGTGCTGGAGAACGTCGTGGAGCTGTGGAGCTTTGACTCCTGCTCCTCCATGTAAGTGCCAGTGGGTTTGATTATTGTATATGTTTAAATAAAAGGCAAATAAAAAGGTATTTGGAATAACAGACTGAAATCCTCGCGGAGGTGAATGATGATAATGGTCATTTTTGAAATGAAGTAGACGTGCTCGGGGAGTCTCATGAGCCACTTAGTGCTGAGTAGCTTCTCTGCTGTTTTGGGAAAGAGAGAGAGAGAGAGAGAGAGAGAGAGAGAGAGAGAAACTGATTGCTAATCAGGCGAGTGAGAGCTGGGAGTAATTGGACAAAGCTGAACTGCAGTGTCACCAATTAGCATTTGAGACTGTGGAGAGCGGAGACATAAATGCTGTTTAATTATGGCCATTTTCCTTTTTTCTCGCCTCCATTTAGAGATGAGAAAGAATACATGAGGAGGATGGATGGAGGGAGGGAGAGACAGAAAGAGGAGGGAGGAGGAGGAGAGTTCTAAACTTTTCACAAGAAGATTTTACAGCTTATCATGGAGACACAGGAAGTGGAATCTTTAAGCAGCTGGGCCTGATTCTGTAAAACACTATTCAACGAAGCACGTCTATACACAGACCAAGATTCTGCTTTGGGTCTTTACACCTTTGCATCTACACATCAAACCACTGCACGACGACACGCTACAATAATCACGTCGTTAAACCCTGAACTTCTCCTGTGATATTTTACATTTGATTCTGCAGCATGCCGCCTTTATATCTCACTCTGAGGTTCTCACATGCAGCAGATCTGTATCTCACAGGAAATGTACAGTAATAAATAAATCGTGACATGACACGCAGCGATTGAAGATACAGATTCAAGGAAATTCTTTTTTCTCATGCGAGTAAAACACACAATCTGGACCAGGTTATATTTACATATCTGCTTAACGACAGACGGCTGCGTCAGCTGAGAGACAAAACTCTCCTTTCAATACCTTCACTTCTTCATCTGCACATCTTTCCTCTCCTCCTCCTACACCCAGTGCTAGACTGCATCTCATCTCCCTTTGCCTACAAGCTCTCTCTCTCTCTCTCTCACACACACACACACACACACACACACACATACACTGTAAGCTTGCATCTGATATGCACATGACCTACAGTATATATATGTACATGCACAAACTAACCCTGCACTTCCTCTAGTTCAGTCCTGAGATACGAGTTATTTATTGACGCTGTCATTACTGGAACTTCATATTTGCAGTTGCTCTGTAATGATTCAGATTTTACAAAATTTGTGGTGATGTGACGTGATTACACCTGAACATCGCGGTGCTTCTCATGCATTAAAACATTCATATCATACCAAATATATTATTTTATATTGATTAAAGCAGCTTTAAATTTTTTTTTCCTTCCTTTTAATTGAGTCTTTTCCCCAATTGTGGTAACGCTGTTTTTATATAAGTGAAGGAGCCACTTTTTCTACCAGTGAGAAACATGCACATTATATAACTACAGCAGTAAATAAACCAACAACAGACAGAAGAAAAAAAAAACAGCCCTGTAGTTGTAGCACATAACCTTTTCTCACTGGTGCAGTGCAGAAGAGAGCAACTCATAAACAGAGCAGTGACTAACACACACACACACACACACACACACACACACACACACACAGAGAGAGAGAGGAATAAAACATAACACCGAACTCTTCCGGCAAAACTTGACGCTGTCCCCTACTGATGACATCATCCCTCTATGCTGGCCTAAAGGTCGCTGATGTCCGGAAGCCGGCCCTGGGCACAAAAACGGCTCACTTCCTCACATGGCAGCACACACACACACACACACACACACACACACACACACACAAGAATGAACACACAACTAAGAAGGACATATATGTATATATGCAGGAAATAATGTGCGCACACTCACACACACAAACACACACTTGTCTGCTGTCGTCGCTGAGTGGCAGAATCTTGCCTGGAGACAGCAGACTTCATTCCAGACTTCTTCCCCAAAACACTCTCTCATTAGATCCACTGTCTGTCATGACTGTGAGCTGCAACACAAACGTCTCTCGCCCAGTCCAAAACAAAGAAAAAAAAAAGAAAAAAGGACAGCTTTGTCTGTTTGGTTTTTAAATGGACTGAATGTGGGTGGAAATCATGGTGCAGAAGGAAATCATTTTTAGGATTTAAATATTTCTGTTGAGCACTGATATTATTTAACCGCGTCTTGCTTCAAGACAAACAGGATGTTGAACCGAACAAAGACAGATTTTTGCTTGTGGCCATCAATCAGCTCCAGATCCCTTCCTGACTTCAGTTCATAGCTGCTAAAAAGAGATATTCATTTCTTTTTTTTTTCATAAACTGAACATCTTAATTCCTTCTCGGGAAACCAGCTCACACCTGGGAGTTTCCCCACACTTGTGCTTGCTGCTGCTGAGCAGATGCAGACGATTGTCAGAGCTGTCGGGGGTTAAGGACCTCGCCTGAGGCTGCTGCCACCTACTGTAACTCACTGAGTTCAGGTTGTGGCCTAGTTGTGCAAAGAGCCTTTGGGAAGTGAACCACTGAAGAGCTGGACGCTCTGCAGAGAATACAGCACACACAGTGAACGGGAGAGACTTACCTGAAGAAGGTGACGAAGAACTGCACCAGGTCCATGATGCTGTTGTGCTGAGAGAAGGCAATCTGTAAAGAGAGAGACCAAAGAGGAAGAGACACACGTTAATACAAACTTCATATAGTCTAAAGGTCTGTGTCCATGTGTAGTGTGATTATAGATCAGGTCTAGCTTCTATATTAATACTGTGAAAGTATCAAAGCCTCAGTCCACAGAGAAATGCACACAGCCTGTATTCAGAAACTGAGCCTTAAAACCAGCCGTCAGGACTTCTGGAACTTTGTGATGTCACAACAAAGCAGTCACCAAGCCCCGCCCACCTGGACCCACCATCCAAACCTTGCAGGATTTGGTTTCTCTGAGTGTTTTTACCTGAAATCTGCTATATTTTTATTGGATCACTCAGAAAACAGTCAGCCAATCAGAAGAGAGGCTCAGAGCCTCCTCTCTTCTGATTGGCTCACCGACCTGTTGTTACTAGAGCTCCAGAGAGAAGCCTGAGAGAGGAGATGTAAAACTACACCGAGATGGTTTTTATATCTTCTGATGGATCAACGATTCAAATAAAACACAGAAGAAGAAGAAAATACGGAGCTTTAAAAAAAAAAAAAAAAGACATTATGAAACTGTCTGATCCCGTTAAAGATTTCGTTACATAAGAAATGTTTGTAAAAACATGACTGGGCCTGTGTGTTGTAAGGCTGCGTCCCACATGTGCAGGTTCAATCACAGTTTCAGAGCCGAACACGACATCTTCTAAAGCAGCAAATTCACACATTTAAATTGTTTGGCATCTTTTGTGTGTGTGTGTGTGTGTGTGTGTGTGTGTGTGTGTGTGTGTGTGTGACATGATTGTATGCCAGTTCTCTAGTCTTTATTTCTTATATTATTTAAATACAGTAACACACCTACATAAAGACAGACCAACCATCTGTTAAACACCAGTTCAGCTGAACCCTAAAGTATCTTCTTTTCTTTTTTTTGTTAATTTTCTGTCTGAAAAATAGAATAAATGACTAATTGTTTCCATCTCCTTCCACACAACAATAAAAACCAGAAGGTTACACTGATAAAAACACCAGTGGAACAGATCAGGCCGGAGGTGGCTGAAATTAACAGTTACACATCTTAAACTGATTATGAATCGACTATATTTTACATCTGCAGAACATTTGTTATTTTGCACAAAGCGACAAAAACACTCTTGACTATACATTCTGCAAAATTTCAACAAGCTCTTATGCAACTTGCCCCCCCAACCCCCAACCCCCCCCAACCCCCAACCTGTGTTATAGAGCAGCATGTGGAACTGATGCAATAACTGTGGATGAACATCTTTCTTACCTAGGGCCAATGTTCAGACCTCTTACATAAGGCCAACAATTTTATTTCTGCCAAATACATTCTCACATGTTCTCTATCACCTTCTTTGACACGCAAACACTAGGAATACAATGCGAGCCACCGCCGCGGTTTGTAGGTTATTATGAGATTAGCCTGCGAGGAAAAGGCTTCTGGCCTTTTGTGCTCTCCGGCACTCTGCAGCACTTTGTTCAATTGAACTCCACCAGAGCGGCCGGATGCTACAGCAACACTGAAATCCACTGACTGCACCATCCATCATCGTGTTTTTCTGTGCCGGGACAGCGGCGCAGCGTGTGGCCCCTGTGCTGTCCAGAGCCCACAGATCTGAGGCGCGTCGACTCGAACAGCCTGAAGTTAAATAAAAAGGTAAAATGTATAAAATATAAAAAGGTTAAATAAATAATTAAGTGGGTTACGATGCAGAACTCCCACGCTGATCTCTCAAAACATGGACGAATAACTTACAACTATCTGTGTGCTAAACACCTAAAGGGCATCAGTAACTGACCAGCTCCTGCAGATCTATTGAGCTCATATACATCCAACATTCTGCATGTTCAGTGTGTGTATATATCTATACATATATATATATATATATATAGAGAGAGAGAGAGAGAGAGAGAGAGAGAGGCCCGCCGTGTGTGTGTGTGTGTGTGTGTGTGTGTGTGTGTGTGTGACAGAATGTGAGATGCACCCTGCTGCTTCAGAGCAAAGTTTTGGCTTTCAGCTATGGAAAAACTCCTGAAAAGCCATTGTAGTCCATGTTTAAACTCCCTCATGTTAAGAGGATTATTTATCACAGACATAATTGATTTTCCATTCACTTCTCTGCCCTGCAGGAACGACACGAGGCAGAGTTTCTGCAGGGATGGGCTCACCAGCTCCCCCCATGTCGTGTTTTCTACAGTTGGAGGAAGACGTTCGGACCGAGACAGGTAACACACAGCGGAGCAGAGCTGCTCCTGGGACACGACCCGAGACAACCGGGTTCACAGGTGAAGATGCAGCGAGGGCTAAACTCTCACCGCCTCTGACCGATGAGAGTTTACCGTCACTGCTTTTAGCAACTCCTACCGGTTGGCTGCAAGTTGCATCAGTTGTTAAGTTTGAGTGCGACACACATTAACCCGCATCACGTCATTTGATGCCACAGCGCAGGACAGAAGCTGTGACGCGTTTCAACGCTGCAGCGCGACATTCGCTCATGGAGATGAGACGACAAGCGTCGACCTGAGGCGACACGGCCGGTGCTCAGGCTTAAGCAAGTGTGCAGTTGTTTGTGACAAGAGCCATACACTGTTAGGTGTGTGTTGCCCTGAAGGAAATGAGAAAATAATTAGTCAAATAACTTAAAATAAAACAGCCTTAAGGTCGTGTTGCAATATAACAAGGAAAGGAACAAAGCCCCAGTTAGTGAACTGTTGACGGACTGTTTGTCGGCACCTTCACAATAAAATAAGTGACTATTTCCACAGATCAACATCTATCAAGCATAAATAATGAAAACATGACCGCCTTTAGTTTAAATCTGCAGCGAGTTAGAACAGGAGCAGACACCGGATGACGTTCAGGTCGACAGCATCACTACGCTTCACTTTTGAAACGTTTTTGTTGTTTCAATGTCAAGTTTTTCTCTTGGGAGCGTAAGTTGCTAATAAGGCTGCAGTTTAACTTTAGACATCTTCAGACATTTTTCAGTGAGCTGCTTCATAAGAAATCAACCCTGTCAGACAGACCTGCACTTTACTCATTTTCATTTTACGCTGAGAGGTGAGAAGTCTTTCTATTTCACTTTTAATTGGCTTTTAAAAAAGCCTTCAAAGTCTCTGCTCTTTCCGTTCAGAAACTTTAAGACAATGCGAAGGTGGTACAGTTGAGGCCACTGCTGAGCAAATTAGCACGTGACATCACCTGATCCCCGTGACAGGTGGACGGCCAAAGATCCTTTTTTTTTAAAATCAGTAAAACCCCGGAGCGGCGCTGCAGCTCAGAGGGCCAGTAAAACGTCACAACACATCCGACGGCAGTACATTTCAAGCGCGTTCGACATGGGGATACCTTTAAATGGCACTAATAGCAGGAAAGGCTGCGTCTTTGTCTCTGCTGAATCCTCTGAGACTAGCTGGGAGGGGAGGAGAGAAAGAAATGGGGCAGAATAGGCTTTAAGAGGTTTACCGGCATTTGTGCGGCAGGTAAAACGGCCTGACGGTGAAAAACCTGCAGAAAAGCTGATTGTGGTCCAGAGGGACGCAACATTAATACAGGCATCAGGGAGAAAAGAGCCTGGCTTTGCATTCAGGCTTCCAAGGCAGCAATTTACATCATTACCCCCTGACAATATGAACAGTTATTATGGATGTACACACACACACACACACACACACACACACACACACACACATATCGAAAAAGAAAATACATAAACTGCAAATAAACTGATAAACAATAAACATACAGTATGCTCAAAAACTAATGCAACTATTCATGACAAAACAAAACAAACTGTGAACATTATACTTGATGTAGTAAAGTCACAATACACACACACACACACACACACACACACACACACATACACACACACACTTTCCAGTCCCACGCCAACTCCAGCCAACAGCCATCATTTCAATTTACAACAACTGCAGTTGTTAAAGACGACGATAATCAATAAGCTGTTTAGGCCACGACCTTCCTCCCCTCCTGATCCACACCACTGCAGAGCCACCAACACACACACACACGCACGCACGCACGCACGCACGCACGCACGCACGCACGCTGTGAGCTCAATGCACACATCCCCTGATAGTCCTGAGAAACCTGCTCTCTGCTGGTGTAATGTTCAGCTCCTACTGACACTGTGTCCCAACACTAATAAATGATAAGAAATTCATTCTATGCTAATTTTCTAACGCTACAATTTTTATTTGTTTTGTCAAAATAAATAAATTCTGTTTGAGAGAAAAAGTTTTGCAGGATGGAACTGTTGCTTTCAGTGGTAGAAGAAGTTTCAGAGGAATTCAGATCCACAACAATATGTTAAATAATTCACTTATGTTAAAGTGGTCAACCACTAAATCCTAACGGTGCTGAATACAACAACAAAAATAAATAAATCATTAAAATTGCAATAAGAGGAGCAAACACATGTTTAAAGCACAGCTGCCTTTAATTTTTATTAATGGCATTTCACCCAGCTACAGGTTTTCTGCAGGCAAAAAATAAATAAGATGAAAACGACTAAACAGTTACATCTATCACATCATTTTAAAACGGAGAGGCTGCGACAGAGAGCGCTGCATCCACGGCTTGTTGTAGCTTTAAGTCAGTTCGCCGTGCAATCGTCTCTAAAAGGGTTTTAGTTCAGTTTTGACACGTACGACTTCCTGTCAGCTCACGTCACATGTGATGAGTAACAATGAGTCATTATGTCTCCTGACGTCCTGACGGCAGAATTAGACCTGTAAAGAAGCCAGAAATGATCGACGTCCCGGAAGGTCGCGACGGCGATGAGGACGTCAGAGCTGAAAGCCTCAGTCTCCTAAGAACAGGAAACACTTGTTAACCCGTGCTCGTGTCTAATAAAGTTTTCTCCTCTTTGAGTTTAAGAAAGGTTTGTGAGATTTTACAATCATCTCAGCCTCCAGACGCTTTTGGGAAACAGGTCCCAGATGGATACAGAGCAGAACTGCTCAGAGTTACA